TTATCCCATTCACCCGTTCTGCAGTTAGAGGAGTTGGACAGAGCAATAGGCGTGGCAGAGAGGGACCCATCGCGCTTCAACATAGAGCAGGGCGAGGTGGAGAGCAGACGCAAGTGGACAGGCAGCACGCGGGATCAGATCTCCATGATTCGATCTGCCATCCAGGCAGCGGCAGCGGAGCGGGTGGCAATGCAGAAGGAGGCGGAGAGGAGGGAGCTGCTGAGAGTGCAGGCTGGCGCTGCTGCCAAGGCCGCTGCTAAGAGCAGTGCTGGCGGGGAGAATGAGAGCTTTGCTGCTTCGGAGGACGACAGACAAGCACTGATTATGAGGTATGCTAGTAGCTGAAACGGGCGTTGTAGGTAGCACAAGGGATGCACATGCGGGTAGCAGAAGGGAAGTTTCTAACAGAAGGGCCCGAGCAGAAGGGGCGTTGTTATGAAGGTTCTTTGAGCGGGCGGCAATGCAGAAGGAGGTGGAGAGGAGGGAGCTGCTGAGAGTGCAGGCTGGCGCTGCTGCCAAGGCCGCTGCTAAGAGCAGCGCTGGCGAGGAGAACGAGAGCTTTGCCGCTTCGGAAGATGATAGACAAGCACTCATTATGAGGTACGTGCTTACGAAGAGGTGTAGCAGACGGGTCATTCCGGTGGGTTGGTTTGGAGACAGAAGGAGGCAGAAGGAGGCGGAGAGGAGGGAGCTGCTGAGAGTGCAGGCTGGCGCTGCTGCCAAGGCCGCTGCTAAGAGCAGCGCTGGCGGGGAGAACGAGAGCTTTGCCGCTTCGGAAGATGATAGACAAGCACTCATTATGAGGTATGTGGGAGTGCTTTTGAGTCGACCCAAAAATAGACTCACTGATCATGAGGTATGTGGGAGTGCTTTTGAGTCGACTCAAAAATAGACTCACTGATCATGAGGTAAGTGGGAGTGCTTTTGAGTCGACTCAAAAATAGACTCACTGATCATGAGGTAAGTGGGAGTGCTTTTGAGTCGACTCAAAAATAGACTCACTGATCATGAGGTAAGTGGGAGTGCTTTTGAGTCGACTCAAAAATAGACTCACTGATCATGAGGTAAGTGGGAGTGCTTTTGAGTCGACTCAAAAATTAGACTCACTGATCATGAGGTAAGTGGGAGTGCTTTTGAGTCGACTCAAAAATTAGACTCACTGATCATGCATGAGGTATGTGGAATGTGCAAACCGTACCAAGGTTTATTGAAACAAATAGGACAAAAACATGAAAACATGGGCATTTTTTAGGTATTGACGTAGGTGGTAGTGATAACGATTAATAGGACACCCCCTGTAACGAGTACAGGGGGGAGGATGACCAGCTTGACGCGATGAGTCAGTCTGACTTGGACTGGAGGTAGGGATGAGCAAGGTGGCGAACACCTGTTCGGTTCGCCTCGAACGTGTTCGAGGCGAACCGAACAGGTTTTGTTTTTTAGCTCAAATCGTTCGCCGAACAGTGTTCGATGTTCGCCCGAACACGTTCGTGTTCGGGCCGCTGCTGAAATTTGCCCGCGACGAACACGAACAGTGTTCGAGGTTCGCCCGAACACGCCTCCACAGGCGAACAGCGAACACCTGTTTTTTCCTAAACTGTTCGCCGAACCGAACACTGTTCGGTTCGGCAAAAGAGGGTGTTCGACAAGGGGCGAAGACGAACATGTTCGTGTTCGCCCTTTGCTCATCCCTAACTGGAGGCATGGGGGGTGCATTCACTCATGCAACGTGCTATTCTCTTATACTGAATTCCCTCTTTTGTAACGAGTACAGGGAGCAGGACGACCAGCTGGACGCCATGAGTCAGAGTCTGGCTCGGATAGGAGGCATGGGGGGGCAATCACTCATGCAATGTGCTATTCTCCTGTACTGAATCCCGTTGTAACGAGTACAGGGAGCAGGACGACCAATTGGATGCGATGAGTCAGAGTCTGGCTCGGATAGGAGGCATGGGCATTGCCATTCACGAGGAGCTGGGCTCCCAGGTGAGGCGCCAGGTGGTCAGGTGGGCACTCAGGTGGTCAGGTGGGCTCTCAGGTGGTCAGGTGAGCTTGATTTACACAGCATACAGCAAGTGCACACAGCATGGGCATTGCCATTCACGAGGAGCTTGGGTCCCAGGTGAGCTGCCAGGTGGTCAGGGGAGCTGACAGGTGGTCAGGTGGGCTCTCAGGTGGTCAGGTGGGATCTCAGGTGATCAGGTGCCCCCACAAGTGCACAGCATGGGTATTGCCATTCACGAGGAGCTTTGATCCCAGGTGAGCTGCCAGGTGGCCAGGTGGGCTCTCAGGTGGTCAGGTGGGATCTCAGGTGCCCCCACAGGTGCACAGCATGGGCATTGACATTCACGAAGAGCTTGGGTCCCAGGTGAGCTGCCAGGTGGCCAGGTCAGGTGAGTGAGCTTGAGTCACACAGCATACAGCAAGTGCACACAGCATACAGCAAGTGCACACAGCATACAGCAAGTGCACACAGCATACAGCAAGTGCACACAGCATACAGCAAGTGCATACAGCATACAGCAAGTGCACACAGCATACAGCAAGTGCACACAGCATACTGTAAGTGCACACAGCATACAGCAAGTGCACACAGCATACAGCAAGTGCACACAGCATACAGCAAGTGCACACAGCATACAGCAAGTGCACACAGCATACAGCAAGTGCACACAGCATACAGCAAGTGCACACAGCATACAGCAAGTGCACACAGCATACAGCAAGTGCACACAGCATGGGCATTGCCTGCCATTCACGAGGAGCTGGGCCTTTATGTGGGCTGAACAACCAACCAACTTGTGTGGGATCAGGTCATGTCTTCTTCCCTCTGTCGACCTTACCCTGTCTGTTCTGAAATTTCTTGAAAGCATTGCCATTCACGAGGAGCTGGGCTCCCAGGTGGGCTCATGTGGGAACAGGATGACTTACCCGTTGGTTTTTTAGAATTCTGAAGAACCAACTTGTTTTTGGGTAAGTTACCTTCTGCCCGTCCTTCCTCTGCCAAGCATGTTTCCCACTTGCACTCACTCTGCCCGTCCTTTCTCCTTCTTCCTCCCTCCGTCTCTCCCTCTCCCTCCCTCCCTCCCTCCCTCCCTCCCTCCCTCCCTCCCTCCCTTCTCCTTTTCCCCCCCACCCACCCTCGGCCCATGGACAGGAATCACTAATAGGAGAGTTGGACGAGGGAATGGAGAGAACTGGTGGGCGGCTAGGACTGGTACAGGTGAGATATGGCTCGGGTGATGCTTGGTTCGGGTGATGCTTGGTTTGGGTGATGTCTGGTTCGGGTGATGGCTGGTTTGGGTGATACCTGGTTTGGGTGATACCTGATTTGGTTTATGGTTCGAGAAATAGCTGCTTTTGGGTGGTGGTGTGGGTTCAGTTCGGTTCAGTGTTCTGTGACTGATCCAGATGCCGTTTCCTGATTGAGCAGTTTTTGTTCCAGCTACAAACATTACACTCACGTTCCAGGTAGGAGTTGCTTTTTGAGTCGACTCAAAAAGCGACTCAGTACAGACATTACACTCACGTTCCAGGTAGGATTTGCATCACTTGTAGCCGTTCAATAGCCCTCTCCTCCCTTCGCCTGTTCCTCTACCCTCCCTCCCTTTATTCCCCTTCCTGTTTGTTCCGTAATAAACTGTAAGGGCAGGGGATAGGATTGGCTTGTTTTCTACTTCACTTATTCTCGTCCCCATCTGCCCTCCACCCACCCTCCTCTGCTCTCCTCAACTCTCTTCCCTTTCCTTTGTCGGTTCTGCTATGAACAAAAAAAACTGGCATCATTGTAGTGGTTCTGAGGGGTAGCGTTGGATAAAAGTTGGGTTTTGAACGTCTCAGAAGTTGGGTTTTGAAACGTCTCAAAACCCAACTTTTATCTCATTGTTCTACTAAGAACAAAAGCAGCTGGGTGTAAAAAGTGTATTTTGAGACGTCTCAAAACCCAACTTTTATCACATGGTTCTACTAAGAACAACAGCAGCTGGCATCATGGTAGTAGTTCTGAAGGGGTAGCCTTTGCGACTCATAAGTCATCTCCTCCCTCGCCTCCCTCTCCTTCTTCTCCTCCCTCCCCTCCGTCTCCTTCCTCTCCTCCCCGCCTTTCGCTTTCCTGCTTCGCTATCAACAGAAAAAGATGACAGTGGTTCTGAAGAAGGCTGGGTTGAAGGGACAGCTGTGTATTCTCCTCGCTCTCGTTATCGCCTTCCTCGTCCTCCTCATCCTCATCTTCTACGATTGACGGTGTTTCATCCCATGAACCTACCATACCTCTTGAGTCAACTCAAAAGTCACCTCTTTACCAAGGCACACGACTCATTATTGCCTTCCTCGTCCTTCTCATCCTCGTTTCTACAATTGACGCTGTTACAATTACCGTTCCTCTTTTTCTGCCTCATCCTTCTCTTCTGTTCCTGTTGCCCTTAGTCTTGGAACTTATTTCCTCTTGCTTGGTGCCATAAATTCCGTACACCATTATCGCATTTGATGCGTCCAACAGTTTATTGCTCGCATGCTGTTGTGTTTTGTTTTCAGTTCTGCTTTGCATCCAGCAGCAGAACGTACATAAAACTGTTCTGTTTTTGTTTTCTCTTGATATGCTCTACTGTTCAAGTAGTATGCCTCGATCACGCCAAGCTCATAACGAGTCACTCATTCTGAAACCTCAGCTTCTAGCTCGAGGCGGGTCATTTTCGTTTCATATAAAAGCGGCTCATCGAGACCTCTCACTCAACTTGTCCATTGGTTGAATCAATATGCTGAGATTAGTTGGGATGGGCATTGAGCAAAGACAGTACTGAAAATGACCCTCCCATAACCATACAACGATCAGACAAAGTCCAAACCAAAAACCCCTCTGCATACTTGCACTTCAAACAAGCCAGGGCAACTTACAGCCTCCTATAGCCCGGCAATTACCATGCCAGCACCCAAAACTGCCGTGAACTAAAAATAGCACAAATCTCCATATCAGCCTCCTATGCAGGCCCGGCAACTACCTACTACACAAGAACAGTGTTATTGATGGCCGTATACGAAGGAGCCCACCACTTGGCCGGAACTGGCAGGAAGCCGCTGGTAGATGCCTTCTGGCCCGCCTTGGGAAGGATGAACAGCAGAAACGCCTTTGCAACTGCACCGTTAGGGACCTTGGGTTTCTTGAGATTCTTCTTTATGAAAGAATATTGCATGGAAACCATGGGAGGCGCCTTGGCGTTCGCGTTCCAGATCAGATCGACGGAGTCCCAGGTCTTGTCCGGAGCAGGAACCTTTGCGGGAAGGGCGACAATGGGGTTCCAGCTCAGAGAAGAGATGGCCACGTTCTTCCTGTTCTTCAGAGCCACTTCCGCCACACCAGCCTTGTTCTTGCATCCGCCAGTGTGCGAATACCCGATGCTGCCGGGCGTCCCGGCGATTTTGGTGCACATATCGCCGTTCGTCGCGGCGAAAGTGAGGCCGGCGTACGTGAAGGGCTTGCCGGTGGTGTCGCCGCCGGCGGGGTAGCCCGCGCCGGCCTTCAACCACATCTGCTGGACGATCGCCGTCGTCGCGACTTTGGTGCTGCGCGCGACGCGCGTGATCGGGCCGGTGAGTTTCGCGGCGGCCGCGCCGGGAACATCGGCCCAGGAAGTTGTCGCGCCGGAGATGATATCAAACGATTGCTTGGCGTTGAGAACAAGCGGCTTGGCTCCCGCGGCTTTTGTCACGAAGAAGCTGTACGTGACAATAGCGAGAGGGACGGTGATCTTGGGGATCGTGGCGATCTCCTTGTCGGCGCTGATTGGCTCAGATGAGGCGCCGATTAAGTAGGTCCCGTTGTAGAATCCCGCAACGCCATTGCTGGAGCTGGAGGGATCATATTTGCCGAATTGTAGCGCAGGCATCACAAAACCCCCCCTATTAGATAGGTCAATATTTGGACCAATTTTGGTGTTTCCGTCCAAAATCGGGCCATTATTGGTCTCATTGTGTGGACCAATATTGGTGTAGTTGCTAAGATGAAGTTTGGGCTATGTTTGGCCAAACTTTAGATGAGTTTAAGGACCATTTTTTTACCAAATCTACTCTCAGCTTTAACCCAAGTTGGACCAAACATGGTCCCAAACTAGAGTTTGGTTGGGCCCAATACAAAACTGCCATTTGTATGAAATTTCATTTTAAAAACCATTTTTATTGCAAAAACATATTACAGCATAATGTACCTCCAGATATAGCAAAACAATACCGAACAACTGTATTGCTTCGACACTACCACATCCTTCTACTGATGGTGGGTTGGTTCTACTGATGATAAGAGCACTGCCACATCCTTCCCTGCTGCTCCGCACCTGTCCCCATGCTGCCACTGCTGCTCCGCACCTGTCCCCATGCTGCCCCTGCTGCTCCACACCTGTCCCCATGCTGCCACTGCTGCTCCGCACCTGTCCCCATGCTGCCACTGCTGCTCCGCACCTGTCCCGATGCTGCCACTGCTGCTCCGCACCTGTCCCCCTGCTGCCCCTGCTGCTCCGCACCTGTCCCCCTGCTGCCCCTGCTGCTCAGCACCTGTCCCCATGCTGCCGCTGCTGCTCCGCACCTGTCCCGTTGCTGCCACTGCTGCTCCGCATGTCCCCATGCTGCGGCTACTAGTTGTTACTGCCACTGCTACGCCCCTCCGCACCAGTCTCTGTGTTGCTCCTGCAGGTTGCTATTGCGACTGCTACGCTACTCCGCACCTGTCTCCGTGCTGCTCCTGCAGGTTGCTACTGCCACTGCTACGCCCTGCACCGATCCCCCTAGTGCTGCTGCTAACCTCCGTGATTACGGGTTTGGGGTGACAACCCGGGCTGGTGCAGGTCGTGCAGCCTGTGCAAAGAGGCATAGGGGACGGAAGGGGATGGAAGGAAGGGGACGGATGAGATAGGAGGAAGGGGACGGATGAGAAGGGAAGAAGGGGACGGATGAGATGGGAAGAAGGGGACGGATGAGATGGGAGGAAGGGGACGGATGAGATGGGAGGAAGGGGACGGATGAGATGGGAAGAGGGGGGAGGGATGAGATGGGAAGAAGGGGACGGATGAGATGGGAGGAAGGGGACGGATGAGATGGGAGGAAGGGGACGGATGAGATGGGAGGAATTCAGCAATGCTGGTGCCATAGCAAGATCTTGGTGCCACATAAGCAAAGTGTCGGTGCCATATTAGCAAGGTTTTGGTCCTAGGGATGACTTACCTGCACCCTGCTGACAAGGGTCTCCATGTCAGACGCGTCGATGTAGACGCCGTTGGGGAAGTTGAATGTGTTCGTGTTTTTGGCGTATGGGACACCATGGTCAATGACAGCGATCTCGACCTCCCGCTTCACACGGGTGCACATCTCCTCGTACTGGATCCGATTGTACTCCCACTTGCCACTCAACTTCCCATCAGGCGCGTTGTTGAGGATTGGCCACTCAAACTGTAGGAATGTGGTGGGTATGAGGTGGGAATGTAGTGGAATAAATGAACAGAAAAAGGTTAACACAACACTAAATCGCTCATCGCACACGTGGCAACAAACATAACACCTTGTCCATAAACTCACCGCATATAGGATCCAACCCAGCTGGCGGGTCTTAATCTTCTCAGAATTGACCCCACGACGCGCCAAAGCCAACTTGATGGACACCGAGAAGATGAGGCTGCCGAAAGGGATGAGGAGCTCCCGATGCCATGCCAGCCCCCTCTCCCCTGAAATGGGATTGCATGGTCATAGGAGACAAAGGGATGAAAGGTGGTGACATGATGGTGACTAGAGGGCAACCGAAATGGGCAACGTGGAACAAAGTAGTGCTTATAGAAATTATTGGTACACACATAACAACAACTACGGGATCAAAAGCTTCATACAAACTCACCATCCTTGTAACGTGCAATGAGCTCCTCATCCGTGTAGAACTCGAGTGGGGCAAGCAGATCTGCTGGTAACCTCCCCAAGTAGCACTTGTTCGCCTGCCGACCCAACGCCGTGAGTGCCACCTTTCTCATCCAGCCGTTGATAGAAGTCCTAGTTGAGGACAGCTGCTCGAAAAAGACCCCTCTGGTGCTGGCATCGTTGTGCTGAAAGAGCGCACGCAACGAGGCCAGAACCTGTGGCGACACAAACTCGCTAAACCCATGATCTAAGGCCTCTTCCGCAGATGGGTAGAACTGAATCATTGAAGCTTCAATGTTGAAGCAAAGATGTGTTGCTACACGCCTAGACAATTCCTGTAGATTGGAGGGGGATAGGGGAGGTGACAGATATGGAAGGCACGCGGTAAGGGTTTGCAAGTGGCTATTCGGGTTGAGGGTAGAGGGCAGGGAAGCAAGTGGGGAAGCAAGTGGGGTTTCGGGTTGATGGTAGAGGGGGCAGACAGAGCATAAGTCATAGTTTAGGTAAAGCCTCACCTCCCTAAACCTGGATGGGAAGCAAGTGGGGTTTCGGGTTGAGGGGAGAGTGGGCAGGCAAGCAGAGGGGAGTTGGGGTTTAGATAAAGCCTCACCTCCCTAGGCCTGTATTTAGGGTAGCAGGTGGGGTTTCGGGTTGAGGGGAGAGTGGGCAGGCAAGCAAGAGGGGAGTTGGGGTTTAGATAAAGCCTCACCTCCCTAGGCCTGTATTTAGGGTAGCAGGTGGGGTTTCGGGTTGAGGGGAGAGTGGGCAGGCAAGCAAGAGGGGAGTTGGGGTTAAGGTAAAGCCTCACCTCCCTATGCCTGGATGGGGAAGCAAGTGGGGTTTGGGGTTGAGGGGAGAGTGGGGAGGCAAGCAAAGGGGAGTTGGGGTTTAGGTAAAGCCTCACCTCCCTATGCCTGGATGGGGAAGCAAGCGGGGTTTGGGGTTGAGGGGAGAGTGGGCAGGCAAGCAGAGGGGAGTTGGGGTTTAGATAGAGCCTCATCTCCCTAGGCCTGTATTTAGGGTAGCAGGTGGGGTTTCGGGTTGAGGGGAGAGTGGGCAGGCAAGCAAGAGGGGAGTTGGGGTTTAGATAAAGCCCCCCTTCCCTAGGCCTGTATTTAGGGTAGCAGGTGGGGTTTAGGGTTGAGGGGAGAGTGGGCAGGCAGGTAGAGGGGAGTTGGGGTTAAGGTAAAGCCTCACCCCCCTAGGCTTGGATGGGGAAGCAAGTGGGGTTTGGGGTTGAGGAGAGAGTGGGCAGGCAAGCAGAGGGGAGTTGGGGTTTAGGTAAAGCATCACCTCCCTAAACCTGGATGGGAAGCAAGTGGGGTTTAGGGTTGAGGGGAGAGTGGGCAGGCAAGCATAGGGGAGTTGGGGTTTAGATAAAGCCTCACCTCCCTAGGCCTGGATTTAGGGTAGCAGGTGGGGTTTCGGGTTGAGGGCAGAGTGGGCAGGCAGGTAGAGGGGAGTTGGGGTTTAGGTAAAGCCTCACCTCCCTATGCCTGGATGGGGAAGCAAGCGGGGTTTGGGGTTGAGGGGAGAGTGGGCAGGCAAGCAGAGGGGAGTTGGGGTTTAGGTAAAGCCTCACCTCCCTATGCCTGGAAGGGGAAGCAAGTGGGGTTTGGGGTTGAGGGGAGAGTGGGCAGGCAAGCAGAGGGGAGTTGGGGTTTAGGTAAAGCCTCACCTCCCTATGCCTGGAAGGGGAAGCAAGTGGGGTTTGGGGTTGAGGGGAGAGTGGGCAGGCAAGCAGAGGGGAGTTGGGGTTTAGGTAAAGCATCACCTCCCTAAACCTGGATGGGAAGCAAGTGGGGTTTCGAGTTGAGGGGAGAGTGGGCAGGCAAGCAGAGGGGAGTTGGGGTTTAGATAAAGCCTCACCTCCTTAAACCTAGATGGGAAGCAAGTGGGGTTTAGGGTTGAGGGGAGAGTGGGCAGGCAGGTAGAGGGGAGTTGGGGTTAAGGTAAAGCCTCACCCCCCTAGGCTTGGATGGGGAAGCAAGTCAGGTTTGGGGTTGAGGGGAGAGTGGGCAGGCAAGCAGAGGGGAGTTGGGGTTTAGGTAAAGCATCACCTCCCTAAACCTGGATGGGAAGCAAGTGGGGTTTAGAGTTGAGGGCAGAGTGGGCAGGCAAGCATAGGGGAGTTGGGGTTTAGATAAAGCCTCACCTCCCTAGGCCTGGATTTAGGGTAGCAGGTGGGGTTTCGGGTTGAGGGCAGAGTGGGCAGGCAGGTAGAGGGGAGTTGGGGTTTAGGTAAAGCCTCACCTCCCTATGCCTGGATGGGGAAGCAAGCGGGGTTTGGGTTTGAGGGGAGAGTGGGCAGGCAAGCAGAGGGGAGTTGGGGTTTAGATAAAGCCTCACCTCCCTAGGCCTGTATTTAGGGTAGCAGGTGTGGTTTCGGGTTGAGGGGAGAGTGGGCAGGCAAGCAGAGGGGAGTTGGGGTTTAGGTAAAGCCTCACCACCCTATGCCTGTATGGGGAAGCAAGCGGGGTTTGGGGTTGAGGGGAGAGTGGGCAGGCAAGCAGAGGGGAGTTGGGGTTTACATAAAGCCTCACCTCCCTAGGCCTGGGTGGGGAAGCAAGCGGGGTTTAATGTTGTGGTTAGGAGGTGCCTGGATGGCACAGAATGTGTCAGTGTTAAGGAAAAGCTTCAACTCTCTTGTTCCAAGCAGGGGAAGCAAATGGGGCTTATGATTGAGGGGAGAGGGGGCAGACAGGTCGAGCAACAATCTAGGAAACGCACACACAGTGTATCACAGGGAACGCACCTTGAAGTCGACTACCGCTTTGTACACGATTTCGCGATGGTTTGCTAGGGGACTATTGCTGGAGGGAAGGCCTTCCGACGAGCTGGTGCTCGGGCCAGAATGAGGAGGAGTTGCTGCAGGCGCTCCGATTGGGACGGATGGACCAGCACCCCGAAGTATGGCCGACAGCATCTCGGCGAACCTTGCCATCACGCGTCGCTCGAATTGGTCAAGCTCCACGTTTGATACACCACCATGCTCCTGGCGGCGATCACAGGATGCCGCCACAAACGGGGTTTTCTTGACAGGGACGAGTTCATAGCGCTTGGTGGCTTCAGTGATCACCTTCACCGGTGGTGCAGCTCCAGAGTACTGATTGGGAGCTGTTGATTGTATACGGGACGGAAGAGATGGAGGAAAGGTGACTGAGAGACGGGTCAGAGGTGACGGCAGGGATGGGTTGAAGGGGACGGCAGGGATGGGATGATGGGGACGGCAGGGATGGGATGAATGTGACGGCAGGGATGGGATGAAGGTGACGGCAGGGATGGGATGAAGGTGACGGCAGGGATGGGATGAAGGGGACGGCAGGGATGGGATGAAGGTGACGGCAGGGATGGGATGACGGTGACGGCATGGATGGGAGGAAAGCGACGGCAGGGAAGGATGGAAAGCGACGTGACATCAGCAAGCATGCCACGAATAAAAAGTGGTACCATCCCGCAGTGCTATACAATGCGGCAAAAGTCTGACCTTTGGTTTTTGTGTTGGCCTCCTTAGAGGTCGGTTTAGCCCCAGCGCCTGCCTTGGCCTTTACGCCGCTGGTCCCAGCGCCTGCCTTGGCCTTTACCCCGCTGGTCCCAGCGCCTGCCTTGGCCTTTACCCCGCTTGCCCCAGCGCCTGCCTTGGCCTTTACCCCGCTTGCCCCAGCGCCTGCCTTGGCCTTTCCCCCGCTGGTCCCAGCGCCTGCTGCCGTAGGAGTTGACTTCGGTTTGGCCGACACTTCACCGGTGTTCTGCTTTTTCTGCGCACCGCCAACCACCAAGGCGAACTCCCGTTTCGACTTCCCACCGAGAATACTATCGGTCGCCAGAACTTTATCCTTTCCCTTAGCCGATGTGACTGCATCTTTCCCTCGCGGTGGCTTAGCAGGAACCTTAGAGGGTTCTGAACGCGGAAGACGTTTCACACCCTTTCTAGCAGGCTTCGAGCTGACAACGGGTTCCTTGATCTCATCGAGTGCCTTCAGCTTCCCAAGCAGCATAGCACGTTCCTCAGCCACAGCCTCATCCTCCATGTCTTCGTCATCAGCGTCACCCTGCTCTTCCAGCATCTCGTCAAAGCTACCCTTTCTTGTGATTTGAGGCTTGTGCGCATCCGCACCTTCCCCCACTTCCGCCGAATCGCCTTTCTCACTTCCCTTCTCAGCCTCGTCCTCATCCCCCTGCCCTTCCTCAGACTCCTCGTCCTCCTCTTCCTCCACCTCGTCATCCTGCTCTTCCTCCGCCTCATCATCCTCCTCTTCCTCCGCCTCGTCACCCTCCTCTTCCTCTGCCTCGTCACCCTCCTCTTCCTCCGCCTCGTCACCCTCCTCTTCCTCCGCCTCGTCACCCTCCTCTTCATCCGCCTTCTCTTCAGCATCGTCCTCCGCCAAGTCTTCCTCTTCCGGCTCGTCGCCGGCCTCGTCTACTGCCTCGTCCACCTCGTTTTCGCCCACGTCACCCGACTTGCCGTTGGCCTCAGCTTCGTCCTCGTGTTTCTGGTTGTCCACATCCTCGCCATCAAGGTTGTTCCCGACATACTTAACAGGATCAGCACCTTCTTCGGTAGCATCCGCCCCTTCCTCAAACCACACTTTCGCCTTTCGAGGGCGGCTGGACTTGCGAACCTCGCCACCAGGAGGGCCGTCACCGCTAGATGTCCGGGGTTTGGGTGCAGCCTCCGTGCTCTTCTTCTTCGTACCATTCTGCACCTTGCCTGGACTTTGCACGGGGCCACCCGTGGCTGTGTTTTTCTTGGTCACCGCCTTCGAGACCTGCAGTTTAGTCGACATGTTGCGCAATAGCCCCGGGAAAGATGATAGGACGTTAGAAATCCGGAACTGCAGGGACTAATTGTAGCGGAAGAGGGGATCGGTACTTACTACGTTTATAATGGACCGTTTTATATCAGGATATGTATCGCTTAAACGACCAAGGAACTCGATGAAGAGACGTACCTTTGAGCGATTCGGTCGCGGTCACGATACGGGTCGCCAAGTAGCACGATTCCGGAACGGCTACACTCATGAAGGGTCGACGCGGCACGCTAACGATGGGGTGGTGGATGGCGTGAGCGGCGCCGCGAGTTGCCATGAATGGAGGCGGTGGTGAGTGAGATTATGGAGCTCTCACGGTACTGTCACGGCTGAGGGTAAGACAGTGAGATGCACATCGATACGTGCAACTATGCGCGGCCGTCTATGCGGACCGACGGTAAGATAATGAGAGCGCGACGTCGCGGATATTAGGCACTGAAAACCTGCGCCGTGTTGCTGATTGAGGGGAGCATGAGTAAGTCGCTGAAAAAAGAGGGGGGAAAGGTGACCGGACCTAAGCCAACGGGAAGGAGTTGGTGTTCCTGCGTCGTGACTGCTATCACGAGCGGTAGCTTGAGACCACAGCATCGTGTGACACGATGCTCGCTGAGACTCTGCCAGGCGTTACCGTGGGCTGTGCAACGAGGTTCACGCGCTCATGTTGGTTTTGTACAAGACGACAAGTGCGACCTTGCCCACCTGACAGCATTGCGGTTTACAGCGTGGCAATTCCACACTGTTTAGTTCTGTTGTTTTCGAATCTTGTAGAATATTTTGCCACGGAATTTTTATTTGTTACAGTAGGAGCGTTTGGGAGTCCGTCTCGCCAACATTGTAGTATTAGGTGAGTAACAACGGTTGAGTATGAGGATCCTAGTTAGGCCCTGTTTTAGTTAAGTCGAGTGTTTCACGCTGTTTCGAGTGATGCCTTGTTTCGGGTGTTTCGAGTACTGGCATGTCCTCCGAATGAAAAAAAAAAAAAGCCACGACAATAAAATAAGGATAGACTGAGTGTGGTGAAGCAGGTTCACCGTACTGTACGGTTGCACCAGGCTTGGCACATTTATTCGCGCAGCCCGTAGCACCTCCAAAATATCGAGCTTAGACGGAAGTCATCGGTTGGATGAACAAATGGCTGCTTCCCGGCCCCACCGAAACTTAGCGCTATACGTGCAACATCCGCGTTTTTCACTGGGTAAAATTTTACAGACAACATTAGATGGAAACGACTACCAACTGGCCACGTGGGAAGTTTCGCCAACTTCACAAAACTCCAAATGCGTTGCAGTTGTCCTTGTCTTGTTTCTGTCGAAAGCTCCCGTGGCGTTTTCGCCACACCATTTTGCTGCCCAACACGCGATGATTCTTCGCATGCCCCAAGTACAGTATTCATAAGAGTGGCTGAGGCTGCCGCAGTAGTCGCAGTGCTCAGTTAAAATATCGCTGGAACACAACATCTACGCTAGCTACAGGTGGTCATAAGGCAGTCTTGTCATTTTAAACAACAACAAACAAAACCAGTTGGCAACGGGTGACTGTGAACACTTTGAGGTAAAACCAAAGCACCAATCAAAACGAGACTGCTCTGACAGGCAGCATAGTTCATACCATCATCCTTCCAAGTGGGTTCGATAGAAATGATACATTATGGGATCATTCTACAGAGACACTACACTCTCAAGTAGCCAAGGGACCATTCATAAAATGGCATAGTCTTAGATGTAACTAAAGGATGGATATGTTGAAGGTTCTTTCGTCACGGTCTGCATCGCGACGTCCCTGACAGCAATGTTTGGATTCTAGGGTAAGTGATATGTAATAGAGAGGGGGAATGACTCTGTAACCATGATTTCCTACCCTATACATTTTGGACAGAGCGCATTCTTTGTGGAGTGAATTTAAGTAGTGTTGTGAACCTTCCATTCCATTTTCAGCTCCTACGGAGCACTCTAGGTGGGTTGGTTGGATGATGAGCTAGTGTAGCTAATGATGCTACCGAATGCTGTTCTGTACAAGTTCTGGGCAGGCTTATGGGGAAATGCGCCGATTGATAGCCTAGACATTTTGGATTGGGATGCACTCCTGGGAGGATCTTAGTAATGGTATCATGATCCTCCCATCCCAAAATGGGCCTCGTCGGAGCACGTTTGGTTGGTCGTTCGACAAACGTGCTACCGAATGCTGTTCTGTACAAGTTCTGGGCAGGCTTATGGGGAAATGCGCCGATTGATAGCCTAGACATTTTGGATTGGGATGCACTCCTGGGAGGATCTTATTAATGGCATCATGATGCTCCCTTCCTAAAATGGGCCTCGTCGGAGCACGTTTGCTTGGTCGTTCGACAAACGTGCTACCGAATGCTGTTCTGTACAAGTTCTGGGCAGGCTTATGGGGAAATGCGCCGATTGATAGCCTAGACATTTTGGATTGGGATGCACTCCTGGGAGGATCTTAGTAATGGTATCATGATCCTCCCATCCCAAAATGGGCCTCGTCGGAGCACGTTTGGTTGGTCGTTCGACAAACGTGCTACCGAATGCTGTTCTGTACAAGTTCTGGGCAGGCTTATGGGGAAATGCGCCGATTGATAGCCTAGACATTTTGGATTGAGATGCACTCCTGGGAGGATCTTAGTAATGGTATTATGATCCTCCCATCCCAAAATGGGCCTCTTCGGAGCACGTTTGGTTGGTCGTTCGACAAACGTGCTACCGAATGCTGTTCTGTACAAGTTCTGGGCAGGCTTATGGGGAAATGCGCCGATTGATAGCCTAGACATTTTGGATTGGGATGCACTCCTGGGAGGATCTTAGTAATGGTATCATGATCCTCCCATCCCCCTACGTTGACGCGGTTCCCCCTACGGGGCGAACATCGTCAGTGGCATGTGGATCTTCAGGGTGAAGCGGCCGCCGGGCTCTCCACCTGTCTTCAAGGCACGGTACGTCGCTCGTGGCTTCAGTCAGCGGCAGGGAGTTGACTACTTTCAGACCTTCTCTCCCACCCCGAAGATGACTACTCTTCGGGTGCTGCTGCACATAGCCGCTCAGCGCGACTACGAGCTTCACTCTCTCGACTTCAGCACTGCGTTCTTGCAGGGTAGCCTGCACGAGGAGATCTGGCTTCGCCGTCCACCTGGCTTCACTGGGACTTTCCCTCCTTGCACCCAGTGGAGCCTCCGACGGCCAGTCTACGGTCTCCGCCAGGCACCGCGTGAGTGGCACGACACACTGAGGACTACGCTTGCGGCCCTTGGGTTTGCTCCTTCTACTGCTGACCCGTCGCTGTTTCTTCGCACCGACACTTCCCTGCCGCCGTTCTACATCCTCGTGTACGTTGACGACTTGGTCTTTGCCATAGCGGACACTGCTGGACTCGCCTACGTGAAGTCCGAGCTGCTGAAGAGACACACGTGCACAGACCTGGGTGAACTGCGCAGCTACCTTGGCTTGCAGATCACTCGGGACAGAGCACGCCGCACCATTACCTTGACTCAGTCACACATGGTGCAGCAGGTCCTTCAGCGCTTCGGCTTCACGTACTCCTCGCCTCAGGCCACTCCTCTGCCTACTCGCCACTCACTCTCAGCTCTGCCTTCGGATGAGTCCGTAGAGTCGAGTGGTCCGTATGCAGAGCTTGTTGGCTGCCTCATGTACCTGATGACCTGCACACGACCTGACCTTGCATACCCTCTGAGCATTCTTGCACGCTATGTTGCTCCTGGGAGACACCGACCAGAGCACATGGCTGCAGCGAAGAGGGTATTGCGCTACCTGTGCAGTACGTCGGGCATGGGGCTAGTGCTTGGAGGGCGGAGTCCAGTGGTCCTTACCGGCCACGCGGACGCTTCTTGGGCTGACGACCAGGCTACGCAGCGGTCGTCACAGGGTTACACCTTCAGCCTTGGTTCCGGCTCTGTCTCGTGGCGGTCTACTCGCTCGTCTTCGGTTCTCGGCTCCAGTTGTGAGGCTGAGATCTACGCCGGGGCCATGGCTGCACAGGAGCTTCGCTGGCTCACCTACCTGCTGACTGACCTTGGAGAGCCGCCTCGTTCTCCTCCAGTGCTGTACGTAGACAACAAGGCCATGCTGGCCTTGTGTCGAGAGCAGCGCTTGGAGCACAGAACGAAGCACATTGCTCTCCGCTACTTCCTTGCTCGTGAGCTGCAGCAGCGTGGTCAGTTGCGACTTGCGTACGTGGCCTCTGAGGCCAACACTGCTGATGTGTTCACCAAGGCACTCGCGCCTTGTGACCATCAGCGCTTTTGCACCCAGCTGGGTCTTGTGCCTGTCTTGCCTCACTTGCTCTCCTCTTGACTTTACTTGTACTGTGACATATATATACCTGCTCTTGCTTGTCTAGTTTTATATATATATGTCTGTACTCCTGCATGTGAACTGGCCTCTGGCCCTGCTCTTGTGCTCGGACTGTGTGGTGACTTTGTGATCCACCCTGAGCTTGCTCTGCTTTGCTTTACTTGACTGGTCTTGTGACCCCTTGTTCTCCCCCACTTTGCCTATGGGGGTGTGTCAGATTTATATGACATATTTGCTGTAGGCTATAGTGGGGTAGCACATATGGGGTACAGGGTTTCTAGGGTTGTATTTGTACCCAATCTTTCCTTAGTCATTTCATTCCTGTTCATTCTTTTCACACGTCATATGGGGCAAGGCCAGATCTCCTATCCTATAACATATTAGTCCAATAGTCAGTAGTCAGTAGGGTCGGTTAAATGAAACCATGGTTACATAATTTTTTATAGTGGGTTCAGTTAATATCATTGTTCAAATCTATGAATGGCACATTTTGTTATGCATACGTCTTATCATTTGTGTGCACAGTGTTGTGTCTAAATCGTGAATAGCATTGCAGTCGACTTTCGAAAGTTTGAAGTCGTGGTATGAGGCACAGGGAATCAGGCGCTGCACGCACACACCAACCCTATCCTGAAGGCTGCAAACCCTAATTTCGTCAAG